CTTTTGGTAAGTTTAAAGTGAGAGATGTATTAGGTCTTAGAACTTATCACATGTTGTTAATGTCATTGCAACAAAAATGAAGGCAGAAGGAAAGGCAGTCTTTACATCACTTTCTCAGACACCTACCCAATTAAAACTGGAGTAGTTATAAAATCATCAGACATTCACCCTAACAGCTGTAGACACTTGGAAAAAAAATTCATTGTAATCCTAGTACTTTAATCATTCTATTGATCTTTCTTTATCTATGTCATTATTGTATTTTGGACTCTCTCTCTCTCTCTCTCTCTGTATTTTGGACTCCATTTTGTCTCTCTCTTTTTTTTGTTGTTGTTTTTAAATTCAGCCTGTAAAGTTACCTCGTTCAGCCTTTGCATGAAAGACAGAGGTCCAAGGCTGTGCTCTTTTGTACAGCTACAGACTCCCCATGCAGCATCAAAATGGACATGACCTTATTGTCCACATCATCTGTGGGCAGTAGGATGCAGAAATATCCCCTGACTTAAAGGGTGTTCTCCCTGAGTTTACACAGGATGAAACTAAAGATCAAAATATATAGATAAGTTCTATCTAACATTTCTGAGAAAAAAAAAATATATATATATATAATTAATTAATTAATTACAGAAATGACATCACAGAAATGAAGATGGCAAGTGAATAACTGGAAGAAATTGTTTTAGTCCAACAGATTTATATTTCTAGCTAAGAACTATTTTGCATTTTTGGCATAAGGAATTTTTTGTTAAATATCCATATCACCTATTTCTTTGGTTAAGATCTGAGACCTAGCAGTACATATTTGTGGCAATTTTAATAAATCCTTCAACATACCACAAAAGATCAAAAAAAACCAAACATAAAATAATTTTGTTCTGTCATTTATATGTCATGTAGAAGACATGAGAAAACAAAGCCATCTTAAGACTAGTTCTCCTCCTCCTCCTAATGCACCAAACAGGGCCTAAAATGATTCTTTCTAAATTCTGTTAAAAAGCCTCATTACCTTTATTAAGTTGCACCAAGTTCCCACTGCGGTAGTCGCTGAAATGTCAATATTTACACTTGCCACCAAGAAACATCAAACTCTCACAGCGTTCCCCTTTTGATAATACAAAAACTAGTTCTCCTTGGTTAACACCACATGGTAAGTACAGGGAATAGCAGTCACAGTAGGTATAACAAAACGTTTTATGAAATCCAGGCACTGAAATCCACAGTGCCTTTCTCTTCAGAGGCACTCGAAATACACTAGGTCTACAGTGGCACAGTAAGTAACTCCTGTGCCAACCTCCATTAGATAAAATAATTAAGTCTACATCAATTATTTGGAATGACAGACCATTGTCACAGGATCAGAGTTGTGTGCTTTGAAGAAGAAAGAATCCGAGTTGCACCCTGCCATTTATTTTCCATAAATGCTTTGGCTTTGCCGTGCTCTTCTTGCATCTGCAGGAGCCCATTATCCTGGAGAATATTCTGTTCCATTGATAATTACGTCTTAATTATTTCTGTCCTTTGAGTAGCCTCTACTTTGAGGATTTTTCATTACGTGGTGCAATTTTCATCACTGAGGCTCCTTCAACTTTCACTAGGAGTGGATTTTTATATTAACCCTTGCAAGTACCCCACAATACTGCCTAGGACTGAACGATCTGGTAGGGTTTTGTTGACTGCAATAGGATGATCACTGTGCAGAGCCACTGCTTGGGAACCAAATGATTTGTATTTAAGCAGTCAGCTGGGACAATAGAAATCCCAGAGCTCAGAAGAAATGAGTAGATTTAGGCTTTTCCCACATGCTGTGCTCTCAATAATATGAGCTTTCACTAAATAAAATAAATAAATAAAAACTTTTAGCCCTTCCAATTGCAAAAATACTCCTCGCTATGTAAATCCCATCACTGCTGTTTTGTTGAGTCTGCAGCCAGGCAGACTGAAACAATGGCACCCAAAGAACCCACAATTCCCCTGTTGCATCTTAATGGGCTGTTTCTTAACTTCAAAGCTGACCATTTAAATGCTAACATTATTAGGCAAGTAATCCAAAACATAAGCACCCAGCTTGAATCATTAGCATTTAATTACCTAACATTTTCTCTTGTTTAATCTACAATGCTGTGCAAACTGGTCTTAATTTTTGTTTTAAACAGCGGAGCACTCACGTTTATGTCTCCCTATGTGCAGTCAGAGACTCGTGAAGGAAAAAAAAAATAAATAACAAAGCTTGCAAATACTTGGGTCTTTCTATGCCTCGAACAATGCAGTTTTACTCTAAAGCTTTCTCAGAATTCATTAGATTTATTTAGGTTGTTTCTATCGACTAGGATCCATGTTACCTGCTCTGAGGTGTGTTGTTGAAAAGTGAAGATTTAGCTGCTAATGAAAGAGTTCAGTCGTTTCCCCTCCTCTTTCTTTGAGCAAATGGCAAAAAAGCAGTTTCTGTTGCTTTTTCAAGGTAGCGTAAAGGTCACTGACAATAGCTCCCTTATAGATGCCAATGTGTGACATTTTGCCTGAATAAAACAGAAACATGATAAGCTAAAAAGAAAAATAAAAAAATTCAAATTCCTTTCCAGATAAAGCTGTTTATCAAACGTGACTTATTCCTTAAAATGAAATACAGCATTTAACTCTTCTCTCTTCTGAATCTTAACTGGAGCTTAGAGCATGTCTCCTGAATGTAAAGGCCTATAAAAAGATAAAATAACATTGTCCAAATAAAATACATAGAAAGAAACATGGAAGGAGACAATCTAATGTCTATAAACTGAAGACTAAAGTAAATAGGTGATTCAACGTTGCAGTTTTCAACAGCTGAAAGTAGAAGTCTGGAACAGCAGCCTGGAAATTCCATCCAAACCTACAGGTAGGTACCCAGTCACCAAAGAATAATCTCTAAATTCCTTTTTTATTAGTGAGAATCTCCTTGTTGTGCATGTCAGAGGTGGTGGTAAACCCCCAGCAATGCTGTAAGCTCATACATTAATGCTAGAAACAGTGGCACCTGCAGTGAAGAGTCAAGGCTTGTCCCAAACAATAGTTCAGTTATTCTTGGGGAAAGATTCACATTTAAAGCACTCCTACTAAAAAGTGTTCTTATTTAATATGTTATTAAAAGCACAGAACCTATGCCTCTTTAATTCAGTTATACTTCAGAGTCTAAAACCTCGATAAGTATTGCCAGGAACATAAGCAATTACCAGCCTTGTAAACAAAAAAACAAAAAAACAAAACAAACAAAAAAAAAAACACAAATAAATAAAAAAGAGGAGGTGGCAATAGCAGAAGATGAAGAAAATGGCAAAACCAAGCAGTTGTGGTGTATTTTTGATATTTTATCCTTTCAAAGTTCTGTTCTGCTATTAATTCCTATTTTCAGTTCTTCTCTGAGGTCTGGTCTTCATTGCTAAACAAAGGGCGTTTCTACCTTGAGCTAAGAAGCATCAGCACCTGTCCCAAAGAACAAGCATAATGAAAACAGCATACTAAAGTTTCAGGGTAATTTCACAGAGATCAACACCATTCCCCACTTGAGGTTAACCTTGGAGTAAATTTAAATGGAAGGAAATATAACACAACTTGCCCTCACTGCATTTTTTACCTCAGGATAGCTCGTCTGTATTTGCTTCCCTGCCGTTAGAAATGCTGCCTTTTTGGCTACGAAGAGAAGCCCTGAAGTAGATGGACTTATCAAGCCTGTGCATGCAACATGGCAAAGCTGCCATAAGGCATTTTTAGCAAAATTATTGCATGTAGTGAATTGAGAGCTGTGTGGTATATTTGTAGTCCTTATGTAGGATATGTCAGTGTTTCAAAAACATTTATTAATTTCTGTTCAGTTTATTGGTCTAATATTTCAGCTTGCAATGTAATAAATTGATCAGATACAGACTTTCTATTTTAGTGTTCATACTCCCTATAGTCAATACAATCAATACAGTCCCTATATTGTCCTCTGTCAAGTCACTCCAGGTGGCAGTCCCTTTCCCTATTTCTAGGCATTGCTCTCCAAAACAACACGTGTGATTCTCTAGGTAAAACATGTACTGAGCTTTGCAAACTTACCTCAAGTTCTGTTGATTTCGTAAGGGTTCAGCCATTTTCATTACACTGACGCCTTCAATCTACTCTTTTCTAAATACAGTCAATGGAATTTTATGAAACATTTTATAAAAGTTATAGAGTAATGTAATATTTTAATGCAGTAATGGAGGGTATCAGCACATAGTGACATATGTAAATTGCTGTAAGGATTGTGTACAACAAAACACTCTTTAGGAGGTGCAGACACTCTGTGTAGTTCTGCTCCCATTTCTATTAATGCTCAGGAAAAAATAAATAAATAAATAAATCTCTCCCTTTCATTATTTCCAACTTGGCCTGCTGCAGCTGGTGGCAGCTGTTTGGGGACTTTTTTCTACCACTCAGATAATTTTGTTTGGCATTGATGCCTGAGTAGCTGCTGCAAACCATCTTGGAAACTCCTACAGAGTGTGTCTACATTATGTTTTTTTGTTGAGTATTTTTTGTTTTCCTTTGAAGAAGTTATTACCAAGTGCACTGTTTACTGTTTGTTGTCAATATCACAGGGGAACCAGAATGCAAAAAAAGAGGGCTGTAATAGCCACAGGGTAGCATACTGGGGGCTAGCAGAGGAGAAATGCTAATTCCCCTTGCCATTTCCTGGCCCAGATGGTCAGGACTTCAACACACAGTGGTTTGAAATGCTATTATGAGTACAAGCTAATATCGATTCTACAGAGAAGACTTTGGCAAATCTATTACCAGCTCTTTTAAATTGCACCTCACTAACAATTTAGGGTAGCTGTTCATCCAGAGAAAATACAGCTCTGGGCTTGCTGAACACTTCTCTGAGTTGACATGAGGTGGGAAAAACTTTACAAAGTCACATTAGTGTTTTTTTTCTTGGCAAGAATATACTGCAGAACTCTTCTGCAGAAATCACTTGCTCAAGTAGCAGCCCTGTCCTTCTCTGCCATACATATTGGGCTCACTGACTCAGCGAGAAAGCACTTGTGGCTTATGGCAGCCCATCCACTGTGGACTTTCAGCTCCAAATAGAAGGGACCACGTGTCGATACTCCAGTTTTCTCCAGCAATCTAGACTTTCCTCTCCAGTGGATAGATGAGCATGTTGGACTATGAAGTGGGTGCCACTGAGGCAGAAGGAATGTTCTCTGAGGCCTGCTGGTGGACAGCTGGAGGGCAGGGTGAGTAACGGGAGCCACTGTTTTCCCACCCCCACCCTCCCAGTAAAACTAGTCCAAGTTCATCTACTGAACCTTCCCAAAGCTATGGGCATGCCGACCATGAGCTTGTTCTTTTGTGTTTGCAGCAGTTGTTGATACTGGGGAACAGTGAAGAAAGCAAATCAGCTAGAATACAGTAAAGGAGGCCTGCAAAACCAAGAGAAGGTTTGGACTCCTGCCAAACATTAGTTATCCCACATACTCAGACTAGGGAGAAGAATTTGAAGACAATCAGCAAATTTTTCTCTATTCAAAAGCTAGGATGAGGCAGCGTCTGCTGCTGTTTAACACAGTGTTAAACTGTAACCTTTATATTGTAAAGGAGATCATGAAAGCATGATCTTAAACTATGAAGGCCTTCAAATTTTGAAGCAAGCACAATGATCTAAAGCTACCCCTTTTATTTTGGAATGAGTCTTTTTCAGTTCCTTGGGATTCAATTTTACTTAATAATACAAGCTATATACTTGCAGCTCTGGGATTATTCTGTCTGGGAAGTATTTTCTTGCAATGCAATCACTTCTTATTGCTTTCAAACTTTGTATCTGTGGTTTGGTTGTCCCTAAATGCCATTCACTCATAAGGCCATTGCTACATAGCATGTGTTCTTCTGTGTAGCAATCTCTGTGCCCGTTATCACCGATATTTTTGTAGCACTCATCATTTCACCAGCCCTAGATTATCCTGAGCTTTTGTCTGAGTGTGTAATTTTCCTACGTCAAAGGCTTGTTGTTTTCCATTTATTGCCCTTATAGTACATTTTGGGGTTGTGTTTTTTTGCTCCAGAGCCTTGGGAACAAAGACATATATAACAAAGAGTTGTTTGCCTGCAACAGGCAGGTCATTGAGGAGAAACATATCCTTTTATGAGGGAGCACTGCATTGCGGTCATCATGCTACCCTGTTCAGAATAAATCAGAGAGCAAAGTGTGTAATTAGGAGCACTGTGTGTATTCAGATGTCTGTGTGTAGAAACTGATGCTGGAAAGCCTTGCAGAATGTGTAGAGTAGGAGCGTGCTCTCCTTTTCAGATTTACTTTTCTTACTTGGTAGGAATGGATTTGCCTGGCTTCAGGCAAAAATAAAGCAGAGCAAGCCTCAGAAGGGGCTGAGCACAAAAGCAGCATCTCTGGCTGAACAAGGGGCTGTGGAGGTAAATACACCTCTGGTCTGGAATAGTGGGCAATGACAGACAGGGTGGCTTTGCACAGAGATAGCTGGATATGGCACTACAGAAGAAGGCAGAGAAGAGGTAAAGGTGGGAACAGCGTTTGCTTCCCCCATGTCAATACCTGCCTGTTCTGTAAGGCCTCACTTGTCTGCCCTGCCCTGCCCTACTGATGATGTGTGCCTCTGCTGCTGACACACTGAACCAAGTCAGTCCTCAGGCACAGAGCTGTCCTGCTGTTGTATGTGAAGGTCTGTTTCTCCTCCAACCTTGCTTATAGCTCCACACCTGCATTATAAAGGATCAAGCCTTTCAGACCATGTTTTTGCTGCCATTCTCATTTTCACAGCCCCTCCTTCACCATATTGCATCATGGCAGCATACCATGCACAAGAGCATTATCTTTTTCTGTGCTGTGTAAGGCATTATTATTATTATTACTTAATTCCTGTGCTTAAAGTTCTGCTGAAGCTTTTGCTTGTTGTACTTATACATCAGCCAATGTATTGACAGGATATGGGTGGTGTGGGATAATTTTAAGATCAACAGCAATTCTAAATTACTCCTGTTTTTAAGATATGTTTTCACCATATGGCAAAGCTAACATGCAAGGTTACCACTGAAAATAGGAGGAAACTGTGCTATTCTTTCTTGTTATCACTCTTCCCATCCCCATCTTCTCTCTTGTCCCTTCCCATCTCTGTCCCCAAGCATGAGCTATCACTTCTGTTTCCTTTACAATGGCCCATGAGATATTAGATGAAACTGCTTCATCTCATCCCCTTTTTGCCTTCTTATGGGTTGCTGTGGCTTGCTGTGTGACTCACAGAAGCATGAGAAAGTGAACAGTGGGAGGGCATGGCTAGGAGCAGGAGTGGTGGGGATATTGGGGATTGGGGCTGGACCTGTTCCTTCAGCAGCACTAAGCTATTACTTTGTCTCAAGCTGTATCATAAAACTGGGCCCTAATCATGCCCATGCGCCAGACAGAAATAATGTCATTAATTTTGTTTATTCTTTAATTTGAACATTTCATAGAACAATAGAGTCACTAAATCATTTGGATTGGAACAGACCTTGGGGGGCTTCTAGTCTGCTCAGGGCAGGGTCAAAGGGACCATTAAAAGTCTGGATAAGGTCCTCAAAGGTCTGATTGCTTTACTGGCCCTGAATATTTGCCAATGGCCTTCAGACAAAACCCCCAAACCCTGGGTTTAGTTGTAACATTTACCTGCTGACAACATGAAGAGTATAAAATAATCTAGATTGACAAGAAAGGAGCTAAGTGAATTCACCCTCCCTGCCGGCCCATGAAAGACATCCTCTGTGTAAGTGGCCTCATATTCTGCTTCTGAACCTGCAGGTTTGCAGAACGTCTCTCTTGGTACACTGGTTTGTTCTTCAGGGTGTCCCTGGAACACTGTTTACCACAGTAACACCTGACAGGTTCGGCTGAGAGTAAATAGAAAGATGTTATTGCCTCATAAATAGACGAGGCAAGGGATGTCAGGAAGGAAAATATTATCTCCATTTTATAAAGAAAATCTTTAGTGAATCTTTTTTCCCCTCTAGAGTCCCAGAGAGCATGTGCAACAGTGTAGCAATGAGGACACCAACCTCCTGAGGCTCAGCCCAGTGCTTTTCCTGCAAAATGATTTTTCTTCAAAGCTGTCATCTATGAGGATTTTGCTAGCTGCTTACAGCTCTAAGATTTGTTGGGGACTTTTGCCTAAGCTCACTCTCTTTCTTGAATACCAGAATGCATTTATTTCCTTGATCTGCTACCACAAAATTTCTTTTTAAACAGAGCTTACTGTTCAATCTTATGTCAGACTTTGCAATTTTTCTTGTGCCATACACAGATTTTTCTTTGTCTGGTGTGCCTCCATGCACTTTATGGAGATTATAGCTGCTCTGGTGCGTGCGATCACTGCTTTAGTCTCCTCACTTTTAAAACCATCTGTAATTCCATTACAAATTATTCCCTCTACAAAATGTTTCAACATCGATATGAAAGATATTTGAAAGGCTGTTGCAGAGCAATCAGATGCTTTGCCTTTTTTTTTTTTTTTTCCCAACTGTTGAACACATGGTGCCCACATACATAGTTTTCATATGGGTGCAACAATCTTCTAATATTTTCGTTGGAACATTCATTTTGTGCACTCTTTGCAAGTTCAAAGGTGAATGAATTATGTTAATCCCATTCTCCTTCACAGTGTGAGCTCAGCTTTTCAGCTTTTCTCCACTGGAACCTTTTTTTTTTTAATCTTGTGCTGATGTGCACTGAAATATTCTGTCTGGCTTGCTCAGTGTTTCCTGAGACTTCCTTATAGTTTTAACTGCTTGGGTGGACAATTTCACCCACTCACGGTTATTACTCTCACCATTTGAAATCTGTCTTCCTTTGCCTTTTCTCATTTACATTTACTTTGCAACCAGTATATGAAAAGACTCTTGACCTTTGCTGTCTGCCAAGATTCATAGGCCTCGGAGTTCTATGTTAGGGGTAAAAATGGGTTGACAGAGTGAGGTATCTCTGAGGTAATCCCTTTTTACTCATGCAGCCCTTAACGCAGAAAGAATTAAACACTGGGAGGCAAACTATTTGCTTCCAGCTCAAAGCAGCTTTCAGCCAACACTCATCTTCAAACTCTTGATTTTTTTCCAGGTCACATTTCTACTACAAAAATTAAAAAAAAAAAAGGTGGATTTGTGTTTCCCTGTATGTTGTTTCACAGGTACTTCCACTCAAAACCAGCCAGACTCATTCTGAGTGGCCCATCTTGCAATTTCTGTGGGGAAGCAGAGAGATCTGTGTTATGGTTGGAAAGCAAGACGCGTTTTATCTGAGTAGGAAATGGTTCTACTGCAACTAAGAAAGAGCAGCAACTGGATTCATTGGTGTCCTTTGTATTTCCCCACCCTGTGACTGTATTGTTGGTACATCTATAGTGCCCTTATTGGAAAACCTCTACAAAGCCAACTCTAAACTGCTAAATTGACAATTATCTTCCAGAGATTGTCCAAAAAGATGGCCAGGTTCTCCAGTATTTCACAGCAAAGGAATCACAGAGCCATTTCACTTTCAGCAGTGTTAAGAAATAATGTGTATGATCCAGAAACAATAATGCAAGTGTATCACCAGTAGAGACAGTGACACGATCTGGCTTTTCAACCTGGCTGCTTTTCATACTCATTCCTTCTGATGCTAATTCCCCAAATTAACTTTGCAGTGAACATATTAACTCTCTGGTAATATGGCTGCATCTGCACTCCTAATTACCAGAAGGTGTGGCCAAAACATTTCCTGAATCATTGCCTGGTCTCTGTGCTAAGGATGTGTGAAAGGATTTTCGAAGGTCAGAGGCTTTCTGCATAAACAACATCAAATGCCTTAAAATACACTGCCTCTACTGCAAATTTTGAAACTTTTCTTGAGCACTTATGTTAGCAAAATGTGCTTGCTTAAAGGCATGTGAAAGACAAAGTGGGTTATAACATGTCTAGATCTAATTCAGTTTTGTATTCAAATGATTATCCTCAGGAAATTTATACTTGGTACTTCTAATTTTCAATCTAGTTTCTTAGGAAAGAGATAGAAAAAAAATATTAAGGAAATAACTGCATTTATATAGAAAATATTTTAATACCTACTCAAGAACTACTGTGACACTGGGGCTGAGCAACGTCTGTAGACAGGCAGTGCAAAGGTGTCTGAGCACCTTATTTAGTGCTTGCAAGTAGACTGAACCCTAGCTCCTCATGCTTCTGTTTAAATGGGCTATTCCAT